TTTTTTCAAATGAGAAGTTAGTAAAGATTCCACATTATCATCATCGAAAAGTCGATAATTTTCAAATGACTAATAGGCGGCGAGTCCCCGCTTATTGTGATCGGTGGAGTAGTAAATCAAATAATTAAAAATGCCCTACAATCCAAATGGCGGCGACGCGTTAAAGTTGTCAACAGTCTTCAGGAAATAAATTATTAATTCGTCTGAATCCACTGACAGGCTGCAGAGGCGATTTCCATAACCGAGGTATTCAATTATCCGCTCGCTGAAATACCCTGTTCGTGTAGATATTTTTTAAGCTCTGCTACACTCATTGTGTCAAAATCAGCTTTATTTTTATGATCTTAAAGGTTGACCTGAGTTTCGCGGAATTTCCCACTTAGGTTACTAAAGGTTAAAAAAAATTGGTACATTTAATAACTGGGGAGATCCACACCCAGTTACGTATTTCCTTGAGGGAATCAAGGCTTCCTCACGTTCTACAGAAATTCGTGGGCACTAATTTCCTCACAGAAGGGATTTTATCGAACATCTACGCACTTAACACCCTGAAAATACCTGATCAGATGCATCACTGTACGCAGACCTAGTTCGATTATTCCATACCACAACGCATCTTGTAACATTCTGCGCATCTACTTCGACGGCAGCGAAATAAAAACTTGTTTGATAAACATTCAAATATATGATAAAAGAAAGAACTCAATTTCGAGGGAGGAAACGCTTCTCGAAAGTGGGAAGTTATATTAGAGAAATTGCCCACACATGTGCTGCGAGCTGGACTCGGAACTTTCGCAGATTGTTTCAAAAGTCACGTGACACTACACGGGAAATCTGAAGCCTAAAAGGTGAAGTCCGTCTGACTCTAACAGGAATGTCACACAATGTTTCGTGAAAAGCGGTGCGTGACGCCCCACCACAATTTGTCACGACAATTTCACTGTCATTTTTCATACAAATAGATAAATACGCTTAGCGATTAATACACCATGAATACACTAGAAAATAACTGTGCGTAGTATGTATTGTGACGATTCTCATGGTGATATTAAACAACCCAATCATAATAAACAACACGAAGAGTCCACAAATCAATTGGTTAGAACAAGGACGATAATGACGAAGATGAACCGCACTAGTGTATGTACAGGAAGCATTTCGTCGGCCGGAGAGACATGCTGATGTGGCAAATGATGCAATTGTTGTAGGTGCATCAAATAACCGTCATTTTGGTAGTCTTTCCTGAACGACAGGACATTTCCTAATCCGCCAATGCCGCCGGCGTGGGAATACATGTTGGAGTTAACGATGACCTGAACTGCAGCCTGTTGAAAGTGCGGTGGAGGTGCCTGCTGTGGGTGAAGGCGGTTGTGCATCCAACCACTTGGAGCTTGAAGTGGTGATAGCATAGTTGAATCCGCAGGCGCTATGCCGTGAGAAATGCTCCATAACGGCGAGAGCGCGTTCGTGAATGGCACACAATTTGGCGAAAACGACTGTTACTGTTGCTGTTGCTGTCCAGCGGCGCAGGGCATTAGAACACGCGTGAACCCATAAGGTGAGGGCGTCGGGACGACACTCATGGATGGGTGCACTTCCCCGTCAAGCCGCGCCTTTTTGCGCTTCCTCTTTGCATTATTGTCATTTTTATTTCCGGTTGCTCTCGGTCTGGGTCTCGATCCAGACGTTCTACTTAATGTGGCCTTTTGACGCGCCGCGTGGAATTTTTGTTCCATGGCTGCCCCGCTACCATTGGGAATTTCGGCAGCTGGTGGCGATGTTGCCAGAAGAGATGCTATGCTAACCATGGGCGATTTTTGCCCCTCGGGGAGTAAAGTAGGGGCTGGAACTGCATTGGGAGAGTTAAAGCCGAGTGACAAATCCGTTAGCAATTTGACAATGTCGCGATGATGTCTTTGTTCAGCGATATCCTCAGGTGTCATGTTCATAAAATCGTCTCACGGTCTCTGCGCTGCCTTCACGACAACCCAGGAACAACGGAGTTTGACCCTTGAAATGGATTACAAATCACTTTAACACCAATCACCATAAAAAACCAAATAATTGAAACAAAAAAGGTCATCTTTGACTGTATTCCTTTTAAATTCACCCTAAAATTACTGTGCGACTTCAGCGATCGCGTTAGGCACCCGCTAAAATCCATCCCTTGGATGCTGGGAACAACAAGCGAACCTTTTCCATACAGGCACGGTCAGTGAGCAAAGCTTTCCCTGCAAGCCATGATGGGCCACCAGTGAAAAGCCCACAGTATCTTGCGCATAGGATTTCAACGACCACGTAAAGTGATCGCATGTATCGACCGTCAACTTTTACGATCAATTTACATTGCAAATATCCGGTGAATTTGACTAGATATGCAGTCAAATAAAACTCCTTTGCTTACTGCGAACAAAGCTCACATGAAAAATAGATCTGAATTCTACAAACCTTTTCATCTTGCACGTCTTTCTTAGCGCCATTTTCTAACAGCTCTTTGGTGACATCCAGGCCGCTCACTGACGCAGCCCAATGCTAGGCTGTTTTCCCTATTGGAAACATCCAAAGCTGTCAGAATTCGATACCAACGTTTAAATCTATCCTATTCCAGAAACCGAAAAAGGGGGTCAGAAATTCACCTTGATTGTCAGCAATGTTAACCTTGACTCCGGCTTTGATGAGGCACTGCACCAGGTTTAGAAGGTCGTGTCTTGCTGCAAGGATAAGCGGGGTGGTACCGTCGTCCATTCGGGCTTCGAGGTCTGTAGCACGATTCCGTATCAACAGCTGAAAGCATGGAGAAATGAAGTCGGTCAGAGATACCAGAGAAAAATATTAGTAAAAATTTAATCCACTTGGAATAGAACACATTGCGGGAATGCTAGATGATGATGAATGGAATTTTGTTGGATAACACTTGCTTTCCTAAATCAAGGTGTTATTTACCTGGAAGACACCTTGTGCATCATATTCGATGGCCAAATGGAGGGGCGCGCGATTGAAACGGTCACGTGCATTCGCATCCGCTCCGTCGTCCAACAGACGTTTAGCCATATCCGCTCTTGGGTGCCGGGCGGCAAGATGAAGCGGCGTCTCCACCAGGTCCTTCTTGGAACCATAGTTTGCCCCAAGGAACGGTAGATCCAACACCATGGTCCCTCCACTGTACGTTCCACGGCAGGAGGCCGAGTAAGGGGCTGTCCTTCCACATGAAACTTCTTGGTGACCAAGTTCTCCAACTAGCAAAGGAAACAAAGAACCCAGTAACCACTTGGTGAATAAATAAAAAATCAATCTTTAGACTCTGATAAAGTTCTAAGTATTACTGAATGTAAATTCAGTTTCTTTACAAAAACGATTTTCCCCAAAAACTGATGCAGAGACTCACTTACCAAATGCGAGGCTGTTCAGCCTCTTCACAAGACTTCTTATGAGCTCCTCCCAGCTGTACTTCTCCAAATACTTTTCACGCAGAAGCCTTGATTCTGAAAGTCGCACCTCCCTTTTTTTTTCTGTCGTACCTCCTTGATCTTTTCCGCCCATTCTTTAGGATCTTCAGAGTCGACCACACACTGTGATCCTAAAGGCACCTCCTTCAGAGCTTCTGGTTAACGGTGGCGACAAGAAGGTACACCATGTATATTTCATGGTCGCTATCAAGTAAATTTGGCCGGACTTTGAGTTCGTCTCAAGATAGAACAACACAAATACACAAGGAAATTT